ACTCTAATTTAATATTAAATTCACAAGGGAAAAATGAGAATCCTAACCATTTCCTTTGACCTTTTCTGGCTCTCTCGTGTGTCTGAAATTTAGTTTATGTGAGAAATAGTGTCGGCAAAGGAATTTTTCTATTTACGACAACGAAATAACCCACATTAATGACACTGCTGAAATTAGTTGACTTCTTTTTTAATTAATTATTTTTTATTTGTGTTGATGTATAATCAGAGTGGTAATTGTGAATATATGTACTTGTTCGTTCAATCTAATTGGATAAAAAATTGTAATTATAGTAATTGGAGGAATCTAAATTGAGATCAAAGAGGAAGAAGATAATTTTAATTAGAAAAATATCCATCGGCAGATTAATTGGAAATGCCACAAAATTTATGTAATACCCTAAATTTTGACTAGTGTCCACAATGTAATTTATGTACTCCGGCTCCGTAAATGAATAGCTTACCCCCAAGAATGATATTTTCGTGAGAGTCAGATTTTTTGTAAGGATTTTATATTAAAAGTATAAAGCGATAAATTTCGGGAAAAATTCAGATAATCGGATCGAATCGAATTTTCAGGAAATTTTGAAGGATGATGAAGCAAGTTTAAAAATTTCATTTCGATGACTTAAATTTGTAGGATTTAATATAAATCGTTGGATTTAAGATAGATTTCTGTAATCAATTTGGATCGTTGGATGAAAAATGGTTAGAATGTAATTGAAGGGCAAAGTTGGTAACTACTAACTCATTGGTTTATTTTTTACCATTAGATGAACAAATTGACATGTGGCGAGTTATTGACCTTGGATTTCAAGGGTAAAATGGTCATTTTGCAATAAATGAATTTTTAATTAATTTTTAACATTAAAAAGTATGCTTAGATTTTTATTAGTAAAATTCTCGAAACTTGTTCATCTTTTATGCCTTTCGCCGTGAGCTACGTCTAAATCTAAGGTAAGGAGAAACTTTCTTGTTGATTTTCAAGCAAATTTCTTAGGAATTTGGATGAAGACATGAAATAGAAAATTGTTCTACATGAAATTCTCTATCATTTGGTGTCATTAGTTCATGTTTTCCATGCTTATAACATTGGATTATTGAATTTGATGGATGAAGGGGATATTAGGTTTTGATGAACTAAGGTTTGATTATGGTATACTTGATGTTGGAGAATCATTTTCATGCTTTTTTTATGATTGAAACTACATGAAATTTCATGTAGTAATAATCGACCATTAAGGTTTATTTAGGAATAAATTTTTGAATTGAAATTGATAAGGATTTGATTGTAGATGAATGGAAATGATATTTGGAAGTTGAATTCATGCTTGAATCAAGTTGAAAAGTTGATCTTAGGTGACCCTTCATATTCGACCATAGGGGAAATAACTGGAAAAAAAATATTTGAGGTTAGATATGATGACTGGATGGTTTAGCAAGCTTTAGAAAGTTTCTTGGATCAATTTGGAAACTTATGAAGGTTTAAGAACCAAATTGTAAGAAAAGAAGAAGTAAGGGATTAAAATGGAAATTAGCATGAAGTTGAAGTGTAATGTTTAAATGTGTGATTATAATGTTGGAATTTAATTGTTGGATGCTTGGAATTAAAGATTTATGTGGCAATGAACCATTTTGAAATAAATTGGAAATTTTGAGATGAATTTTTAAAGAATTCATTTTAATGGTCTAATGCTGGAATGTTTGGGATTGATTTGAATAAAGTAAAAATGATGAAGGATCAAGATGCAAGTAATAAGTATTGATGAAGAAATTAAGGACGCAAAATAATGAAAACAATTTAGATTTTTGAATCTAGCAGCAAGTTTGAAAAATCACCAAAAATTTTATGAAAATGATTAATAGATTTTTATATTGTTGTGTTCATATACCAGTATAGTTTTGTTTAAAACAAACGAAATCGATTTCAAATTTATAATGAAATATATGAATTTTTGATTGATGATAGGTCAGAAAACAGAACAACAGATTCTGCTCAAAACAGATTCTGAAAATTGGATTAGAAAATTCACTATAAATTGTAAAAGTTGAATTAGAAGGAGTACTTTATATGGTTAGATTCGTATTCGAGTATAGTTTCCAATGAAAGAAACAAAATTAAATTCCAGTGTGTATAACAATACATAATAATGATTCTTTGAAGGTAGTGCAAGTTGTCAGAATATGAAAATTTTAGGATTGAAGCATAAATGGATTTAGAATCAAATAAGTATCATAGAATTTTATGAATTTTATTATAATATGTTATTATGATACTAATCTATATTTTAAAATTTGTATGTGATAGATAAATATGATGTGTAGATCATAATAAAAAGTAAGTTCAAAGCGATTCAAAATCAAAGGAAAAAGTTCAAGAGTAATGAAATATCGGTAGTAGGATTTCAAGTGAGGCATATTCAGGTGAGTGTATTTCTACCTTATTTATATGTGTTGTTGTGTTATACAGTACCTGTACATTCTACGTGACACTTTATGTGTATATTATCTACACGGCAGTTTCGATTGCATATTTACGAACACTCATATATGACTCACGTATCATGCATTCTCATTCATCATACATTAGGTTGTGAATTAAAATGAAACTGTAATGTACAAGTTTGATACATTTTGTTGAAAGTAAAGTTTATATGATGATTTTATATTATGTCATATGTTTGATATTTTTCTTATATATGTTTTTAATTATTATTCTTATTTTATTATTATTAGTACTATAATGACTCACTAAGTATATACTTAGCGTGTGATGATTTTCATGCGTAGGTGGTAGAAAGCGTAAGGAGTCATGTTCAACATCAACTTTTTACAGAATCAGATTTGCTCCATATTCAATATGACATATTTTGAATATTGATAAACTAGTTGGTATGTATATCATATGGTTATGATACTTAGAACTCGAAATGTTTTAACTTAAAATGGAATGGATACTGCTTAATACTATTTACGAGTGTTAGTTTATTATTTAGTATTCTATGATCTTGATATAATTAAATTGCTTTAGAAAGAAACAAATTTTTATTGATTTTTGATAAATGATTGTTTTAAAAATATTATGTGACATCTGTGACTCGTATACGGTGACGTATACGGGAAATGAGTGTTACAATTTATCACGCTAATTTACTAATTATCTAGGTGGTATATGTTTAAAGATTTTAAATCCTTTGATAATGAACGCTCATACTCCTTGCATACACGATGCTCAAATTCAGAACCTCGAGAGATAACAACAAATCTTTTAACTAATGAAATCGTTTTTCATACAACTTATTTTAGTATTGAATGTGACCTAATGAATTCAATTATTATATCTACTTATCACTAGTCAAATTAGTAGATGAAGAGGAAGAGTGAGTTATGGAACATAGCTTGTAAAATCGTAGATATACAAGATTATTCTATTCACCCTCAGCACACGTGGTGTTAGAACACGAAATTTTAAAAAAATATTTTTTAATCATTAAGATCATTTAATTCGTGCACGTGTCAAATAAATTTTGATTCAATTACTTTATTTTTTTATATCAGTATATATAGTGTATCTAACATTGCATGCTTGGTTTTTTTTTCTTTACTAATCAATTATTGGAGAAAATGATTAAAAATGACAAGACGAGGTGGTTTGGACCATATGCTTTATTTTTTTTTGAGGGACCAAGATTGATTGAATTTAATGTTTTTTATTATTTACTTTTTCTTTTTGATATTTTTGTAGTTACGGTTGGTACATAATATTATAAAACAAAACATCAACAATAATTATAATAAATAAATTTACTGTATTATGATAAAATTATTATTTTAAAAACGATTTAGTCATGATCGATATAATTATAAAAATTGATATTGTCTTCTAAGATTAATATTTTCACTCAAACGAGAAAGATGAAACTAATAGACATTACTCGAAGAAGTAGGGGTGTTCAAGGGTACCGGTAGTGACGGGTACCCGGATCTTCTGGTAGTTGATTTGTCGACTCATGTCCCGATCCGGATATTACAAGGTACCTGGATTTTGCGAGTACCTATTTTTTTTTCATTTTAAAATTATTAATTTAAAAAAATATACACAAATTTAAATGTTTAAAACTTCGAATTACATACTCCAACATTCAAACATAAAATTTAAAAGTTCGAAATATAAAATTTAATAATCCATAATATAAAGAAAACATAAAAATTCATGACAAACTAGGGTAAATATGAATTATGTTAGTCGTTAACATCCAATTACTAAACTATCAAAACTTAGTCCAATTATGATAGTAAATTATAATCTCAACCCATTTATATAATTTAATTACTTAGACTTTAATTACCTAGACTATCAAAATTTAATCCAATTATAATCCAATTACAAATTAATCCAATTAAATTAATATCATATTTGATAGTCATAATCCGATTACTAAACTATCAAAACTTAATCTAATTACAAATAATATCAATATTTATACAAATTATCATGTTAATGGTTTCGTAATTGGATTATATATATAAACTAACCAGGTACTCGGGTACATGAAAAAACTAAATTTTGTGATCCGGGCCCGACCCGATTGGATAACTTTTTTTAAAAAATTACTCAATTTTTTTTAGATTCGGATCGGCATGTCGGATATTTTTGTACATCCCTACAAAGAAGAGTGTAATACAGTTGACTTGGTGCTTTGTATTGCTGACTTGGTGGCTCATACGTGAATGGTGCAATTTAAAAGTTTTAATGAGAATTTTCAAAAAGTTCAAGTCTAATTAAAATTTTAAATTTATTTGGAGACCTTAATAATTTTTAAAAAGTTTTGGGGTCTAATTAAAAATATCAAAAACATTTGCTACTTAATTTTTTTAAAAATATTGAGGTGCTTAATACAAATTTGTAGTTTTATATCAGTTTAAAACATAGATGATAGTTTGGGATCTCTAGTGTAGTTAAACCAAACAAATTCTTATATGGAGTATGGACTCTTCGTCCTCGTCTGCTTTCACGTACTCCAAATACAAGAGGATAACACAAAATCCATTTCTTCCAAACAAAAACCAGAAGGAAGATAAAGAAAATGGCGGTTTCTTCGGCCATTGTCTTCACTTTTATCTCGCCTCAAACGGCATCGTTCTCAGCAAACTCTTCTTCTTCTTCTTCAACGAGTCTCCTTCCAACTAAATTACGCATGGTACGAACCGTGACTCATGCCACTGCTTCTGAGCCTGAAACCGGCTCCCGACCTCCACGTGGAATCATGAAGCCGCGCCGCGTGTCGCCTGAGATGGAGGCTGTCGTTGGAGTCCCTGAAATTCCCCGAACTAAAGCTGTTAAGCTGATCTGGGCTTACATTAGAGAGAACAATCTTCAGGTCCATTCCTTTTCTTTCCCCCCATCTTTTAACTGTGTTTCTTATAATGGGTTCCTCTGTTTTGATATGGCCGTTGCTTGGTTGTTGTTAATTTGTGAAGGGTTTGAATGAGTTTTACTTTTATCACTATTTCTTATTTTCATTTCGATTATTTAGAGATTCTAACCCGATTTCCGTTTGGTATCCAATTTTTTTGAAGATTTAGTAAATTTTGAACTGTGGGTTTCTTTTATAGTTTGTGCATTTGATGTTGATGAAGATAAATGCTTGATTTCTTTGATTTGAATGCACTTTGGGGTTCATTGTTATGAGTTATTTTGGCAAGAGTTCAAGGGTGTTGGCTGCCTTTAGTCATCTTATTGTCCTGTAAAAGTTATGCAAGTTTGGTTATCCAGTTCGAGTTTGGACTTCTACCAATGAACCTTTGTTAGAAGCTGAGGGCTTGAATACCTTTCCTTTTTCGGCTCGAGAAATGATTCAAGTGTGCTTATGCTTCCAGACACATCGGCATTTGTAATCGAGCCGATTCATGCTAGATAACTTTGCGACCGATTCCCATAACTTCAGCTTCCGGGGGTTTGATCTTCTTGTTTCTTTGTCCTCTGTTAATTGCTATAGAAATTATGTACTCATATTACTTTCATCTTCTTGAGAAATGTGTATGTACGCTTTGAGATACGCTAGAATTTGAAATTAGGCTGACCTCAACTTGGATAACATTGCAAGTGGCTTATTCTTCCAGACACATCGGCATTTGTAATCGAGCCGATTCATGCTAGATAACTTTGCGACCGATTCCCATAACTTCAGCTTCCGGGGGTTTGATTTTCTTGTTTCTTTGTCCTCTGTTAATTGCTATAGAAATTATGTACTCATATTACTTTCATCTTCTTGAGAAATGTGTATGTACGCTTGAGATACGCTACAATTTGAAATTAGGCTGACCTCAACTTGGATAACATTGCAAGTGATTAGTTAACTTTGGTTGTAAATGAACGGTATAGTGAACTTTTAGCTTCCGGGATTTGACCTTCTTGTTTATTCATCCTCTGTTAATTGCTGTAAATGCCTATAAGCCTTTGTCGGAATCTGATGGCACAAAAACTGATTTATGATTAAGTAGTGTTTTGTGTACGTATGCTTTGACACTTGTAATTAAGCTGATCTAAACTCAATAACTTCGCGAGTGATGCATGTAAAACTTTGAAGTATTGCTAACTTTAGATTCTGGGGTTTGATGTTCTTGTTTCTTTATCCTCTGTTAATTGATGTATATATTATGTAACTCACTAGCTTCTTTCTTTGCTTCCGGCCATTCCTTTAGGACCCTGAAAACAAGAAGATCATAAATTGCGATGAGAAGCTGAAGAAGATATTTGGAGGGAAAGATCGCGTCGGGTTTCTCGAAATCGCTGGGTTGATTACTCCTCACTTTCTTTGATGAAATCCTAAATGAAGAGTCAAGTTTGCAGAACAAGAAACAGCCTATGTTTATAGGGGGTGTATGCCATTTTCTTTGTTGAGGATGCAGAAGAACACCATGCTTTTCGCCGTAAAACAATTAACTGTGTTTCTAGCATTACTACTTGTGTATAGGAGTATATATTGTTTTATGCAAATATTATGTTTTACGAAAACCGATTACCTGTGTTAAATTATGCGGCTCCTGATGATAATATTACATGTTTTGTGTACAAAATGGCATGGCATCCCGTCAACACCTTATCTTTTTATGTCACTGCATAAGAAGCTTCCGAGACTTTATCCAAATTGTCTATCAAATATAAAACTTACATAAGTTTGAAGGACAACGAACCCTTTCTGTTGTCTGTTCTTTGCACATGAATTTAGATTCATTTGGTATTGTTGTGTGCATTCCATTGATGAGAATATGCATTATTACATACCATGAATTGTAGTACAGGAAGTATAAAAAGGAGATCCTACTCTAACTTTAGAGCTTCATCAGGTAAAGTTTGGGAGACTTCTTGGTCTAGAACCGGAAGAAGACTAGCTGAGGCTTCATCCGAAAATTCCAGGCTTGGTCGGGCCACGTCCGGATTATCTAAAGGCAATACTTGATGTTCTGTGTCATCAAAGTGAGTCCATTTCCTATTTTTTGCATGAACTAACACAGGGTACATCAAGATCCCGATGATGATAACTATACCGCTCACGATGAATGTTTTTACAGAAGCTAGGCACATGACAAGAACAAGCAAAAGAGCAGGGGGCAGGCAAAGCATTGTTGCACCAAATGTTTGCAAAGGGACCCTGTAAGGCCTATGAAGATCTGGCTTTTTGATTCTCAGTTTTATGAATGCAGCGAATTCGAGAAGCATTCCGATCGAGTAGAGGAAGTTGAGGAATTCCAGAATCTCTTGGAAGCTCATCCATGACAAGAAAATGACTCCAGTGGCCGAGAACAAGATGCTGACAGTTGGTGTCCCATATTTTGACCTACAAAAGATGGAGTTTGTAAAGAACGTGTTCATGGAATAGTTTGTAATCATGTTAGTGAACAATAAATCATTTAAAAAGTAGGTTGTTTCAAAAGTTCCAAACATCTAATCTAACTCTTCGTTTTTCTTAAAGTATTCAAATCTGATATATACTTGAAATGTCCTATAGATTTCGAACCAATTTGGTCCAATGGAGCTTCCCCCCCCCCCCGCTGAAACAGTCTCTCCGTCCATAAACCCATATTCAAGTTTGAAACACTTACACTCGAATTCGACTAATGTGACTTCCATGGCAGAGTTGCATTCAATCTTTAATCATACAAGGAAGCAAAAATTAGACAACTTACCTTGAACCAAAGATGGTTGGGAGCATTCCCATTTCACTCATTCCAAGCAGTTGGAAAGCATCTGCACTCATCTCAGCTTCAAACAACCCTAAATTAGACATTGCAGCAGCTGCTTGAATCCACCATTTGAGCCAAAAACCTCCTATCAACATCCCAACTTCAGCAAAATACCCATCAGTCCATTCACTATAAGAAGAACTCAAAGACCCCGTCCCGGCAAGAAGCGGAATCAAGTACGACAAAACCACCAAAATCACCGCCCCGAGAAGTGCCTTGGGGAATGTCTTGCTCGGATTCTTGACCTCCCCGGCCAGCGTACTCGCCTTGTCCCAATAATTCAGATTCCAAAACATACTATTGAAGTAACCCCTCCAATCCACCCTCTCAAAGTCCACAACAAGCCATTGCCTAGGCTTTAACCTAGGTATTGAAATGATCCCCATTACAAGGAAAGGGAAAAGTGAGAAGGCAGCAAGGGAAACAGCTGAAAACCCCACAATGTGTAGCCCTCTATAGTTCAAATATGTTAGTGAAACTGTGATGCCTAAAAGAGCTGGAACCCTAGCAGCCAAGTGGTTAAATACTGGAAATGAATGCTTCAAGTAATCAAGGAACAACACAGGGTATAAAGCATTGTCCATTACACCACTAAACCATTTCCATAAACCTTCTTGGAAACCCCAAAAGGGACCAAAAGCTGCCGATATCCAAGTAACATAACCTCCATTTGAGGGAAGGTTGTGGATAATTCCGCTGTGATTAGAGCCTCTGGATGCTCCAAATCAAAGGGAATATCATGAAACCAAGCAATGACAAAAGAGGGCCACCTCCCGCCCTCACTGAATCTTCTATGCCAAAAGGACCCCCAGATACCTCATAGAATATCAAAGCAATTAGTGGAATAACTGTTAGTTTAGGACTGTCTTTGACAAAACTGTGCTTTATCCCTTCCTCTTCACCCATCCACAGTTTCAATCAATCCCTAAAAAAACACCTTTTTGGTTCAAAGTTAGCAACTTTAAGAAAACCCCAAATGGACAAACATAAAAAGGAATGAATTTTGTTCATGAAAAACAAAAAAAAAAAAAAACAGACCAGTTTTTCTTCCTCTTCAATGGATTACAAACACTGGGTCTTCCTTGAAAAAACTTTGAAAAAGTAAATGTTTTTTCAGATCTTCGATGATTCTTTTAGGTGTTCCATTATCCCACGCTTTGTTGCAGATGGTGGGGTGAACTCAGAATTGAATATGATAAGCCCAGAAACGATATATACAAATTTATTGACAGAATCATACTGTTGTATTGTGCACAGAGATAAATACAATAAAAAAAAAGGGTCAATGTTTATGAATCTCACATGGAGACGTGTATGGTTCAAACGCGGGGTTATTAAAACCAAACTCTTATACTTGATGACTTTCAGAGATCTCGGCCTGCCAATACGAAATGGCCAAATGGCTGCTTGTGAGCACAGCAATGCCATCAATGATTAAAAGGTCTATTATTTGCTAATAGTAGGTGTTTATGATATATATTGGGGGTAAACTACATGTGTTTTTGTTTTGATGGCTGAATTATAAATTTTGTAATTTGATTATTAAAAGTTGGAATTTGTATTTTTAAGTTATATGGTTGTTAACTTTTTAATATCGTTTTAAATATATGTAAAAATCTCTGATTTTTTTTTAACTTTATACAAAGTCCGGTGTTATTTCTTCTCTCAAAATTTCAAATCTAGATAATCGAACACTTTTAGATCCACCAATGTTAAATTTAATAGATTTTGATGTGATCCGATTATATTAGTTTAGAATATAAATTTAATCTTTTAATGGGAGTAATGAGAAAAAGATTGCGATAAATTTTGATGTTTCATCTCATTTGGTTTAGATACAGAACCACATATAATTATTCAGTGGATGAGAAAAAGAAAATAAATTAGTCGAAAAAGATGATGAATTGTCGAGAAAGAGAGAGATCCAGCGAAAGTGAAAAAGTGTCTTCTCTTCTTTGTCCAACCTTACATGATGATTTATATATAAACTTTTAATATTGATATCACATTTAGGGTGATGATGGTTATTTGCATGTTTCAAATAGTAGATTTAGCCGGTAAATGACATGAATTTGTTAGTAATCGTGTAAGAGGTTATAACTGATCGAAGGATATAAACTCCGGACATTTTGAAAAATTCTAAAGACTTTAAAATTCGACTGACGAAAATAATAGCGAGATATCACCTCTCTAAGAGAGGTCCAATAGTAATTGGGCCATTTTTTGGCCCAACCCCGACAAATCAAAATATAGGGTTTTTAGATACTTCTGTAAATACCCTAACTTGGAAAACTAGGTTAACAAATTAGCTGTGAAGTCGAGACTCTTTTAGCTTAAGCAGAGATTTCATCAGAGGGCGGCCATCGTCTTTAGTCAATCATGGGTCATTCCAACGTCTGGAACTCTCACCCCAAGACCTATGGCCCTGGCTCTCGCGCCTGGTAATTTTATCTTCTCTCGGCTATCCATTATTCGATTGCTTATAAATTTCAAATAAATCACCACTGTTATCAACTTTCATACAGAGGATTCTATTTCTCTCTCTCGATATACTCGATTTCAATTACGTTTTGTTATTATATTCTGATTCTGATTGCCTATGATGTTCAAACATTTGTCCGTACCATCTGAGATTTATTTCTCTGATGTATTCTCTCAAAGTTTTGATTCTGAGGCATCAATTTGATATGAATCCATGTATTTTTTTCTGCTGTTTGTATGATTATTTAAGGCTGTGATGACGGAAAAGTATACCATCAAACTCTGAGAGCCTTGCCTCATTGATGTAATCATATATTTCTGTCGTCTGAGCCTATTAGATCTTTTTTTTACTGATTAATCTGCTACTTAATCTCAAAATTTCAGCTCAATCTGCTACATTCATTGATGTATTCTCTCAAAAATTAATGGTTTGTACCTTGTATTTGAAACTTATGAACTTAACTTAATTAATTATTTTCATTCTCCCAATTCATATAACAAATAAGATCCAAATCTAAAGTTTCCAATCTGTATTCCCATTGCCACCATGTTGTTTGTCTTTGTTAAATGATTTTATGGTGTATTATCATGTTACAAAGTACTTTTTTTTTTTGTAGCCGAGTGTGTGGAAATCCTCATGCCATTATCAGGAAGTATGGACTCATGTGTTGCAGACAATGCTTCCGTAGCAATGCCAAGGAAATTGGATTCATCAAGGTATAACAATGTCACCCAATTGATTACACTTTCAACTGTTAATCATTAGCGTTATCTTGATGACTTGATCTCAATCTCTTCATATTCTTTTCTTTTGTATGAGCAGTATTGTAACATTCGTGTCATTTTTTACCCTGTGCAGTACCGCTGAAGAACGAACTTTAACATGGGCAATGAAGAACAGGCTTTTGAAATTGAAGGATCTTTTTAAGATAATGTGCTTATCCTTGTTGAGTTTAAGTTTGAGACCTTAAAAGTTTTGTTTCTCAATTAAGTAATCATCCTGTTTTCATCAGTTATCTTGTTGTTAGTTGGCTATAATCGCCTTTGTACTGTGATGAGATAGTGAAGCTTGTTTATTCTCATTGTCATGTTTGATTCTGGGGTATTTTTGCTATGTCTGTCTAATTTAAGGTTAATTTAACATGATTTTCAACCTAAAATGTTATCTGCTCAGCTTAAAATATTATACAAACCCTTACTAACATGATTTGTTAATTTTTGTTGTAAAAAGGAAAATTCAGGCCAAAATTCTTCCTTCCCCCCCCCCCCGGATAAATGCATTTTATTTATCCGAAAGCAGCAAGCTGCCACCACATACCAAAATTCTTCCTTTAATAGTGTCCTAGTCGAACCACAAATTTCTGGGGAAATTCTTACTATGATATGGTCTCAATGATGATTTTCAAGACGCAATTTTCAAATTTGCTGGTGTTTGTTCATCTTGGTCCATTTTTGAAAGGTAGAAAATTCTCAGCTGAAAGAACATTTATAATATGTTGAAAAATCTTTAAGTATCTTTTCCTAATTTCCTCCCCCCCAGATCCTAAGAAACTGCAATTTAAAGAATAATCACAATATTTGTTGAAAAGAAGAAAAATGAGAGAAAATAGAGTAAGACAGATGTAGATTGTCGAGATTTGAATCATGTTAAATAAGTGAGTTTAAATTTTTTAAATATAATTTAAGTTCGACGATAATTAGTTGAGTTGAGTTGGATTTTTGGTCAATCTAATCTAATTTAAGAAGCATACTTGAAGCTCTCTTTATCTGAAATTGATCCGAATTTAGGGAGATTCATTCCGAAACTTGATTTAATCTTTTAGGTAAAAATTTGCATTTGACCGACACACATATATATTATTTTGATTCAATATATAAAGATCTAATTGAAAAAAAAAATATAGAGATGAGTATTATAACAACTATCTTCAAATATATTATAATATATAAAAGAAGATTATGTTATACTAAAAAATTTTATCTAAAAATTGAATTTGATCTGATTTTATTATGTATGGAACCTGACTTAATCTGAATCCGTTAGATTCAGATCCAATTATCATCCTTAATTGAGTGCATTTTTGAACTTACACAATATTTGATTCGAATTGGTCGATAAATAAAAAGAATATTAGTGATTAATTTAGAAAGAAAGTGATCTAACTGATAACCCATATTAAACAAAACATAGTGATAGTGGGTGTCGTCCTTTCAAAACCAATCAAATTTATGGAGTATTTTTCAAGTAAAAATAGCTGCTAAGTTTCAACTGCCAAAAAGTTCTAATTTTCTGTTAATGAATCTGTCAGTTGGTTATGTGGGTTCTATCTTGTTCATGCCATGATATTTCCATTATAGAGATCATTAAGTCTCAGATTAAATATTTAAATTGGTAAAATTTGAAGGATTCATCGGTAAAAAAATGTATTATTAATCAACCAACTTCCTTCCAAAGATTCACAAAAATCCAGAACTGAAAAAACCCAGCTGAATCTTTCTATTTTCTCCCAAAATCTTACTTTACCTGTGAAAACCAGTGAGGTTTTCGTTTTTGTTGATGTAAAATGCAGAATCTTTTAGAAACCCTTTCTGGGTTTTCTAACATTCACCTGTAAAATCACTCGTCTTATTTGTTTAGCGGTTTTCAGCCATGAAAACGAAGACCCATTGCTGCTAAATACACATATTTTCTTTGGCAATGTAAAGGAGGTAGTAGATTCGTTTGCAGTCTCTGATAGTGGTGGCTGCATTTTCCCGCTCAGTTGAAGAACAAGAAAGAGTAATGGCTCCACTGTTATTAGAAAACTCGAAGGCAAACAAGTTTGTTCGAGTTATTTGTCTCCTTCTTCCGCGGCAACAGCAAAGTCAAGTTCTGCTTCAAAACCGGCTCCGATGACCGTGTCATCGCTTCCGAAACTGTCTCGATCGGTCGACCGGAGGCGGCCGGGGGGTCAATTGTCACAAGGAAACAATATTAATGCTGTAGAATTGCCTGCTGCTAACAAGATGATTATTACTTCAAGGAGAAGCTTATCCGTTTCGTTTCAAGGTGAGGCCTTTTAGCTTCCCATTAGTAAGATAAAAGCTCAAGAGGGTTCTAGTTTGATTAGGAAAGCTATTCCTGAAAGGCGTCGAGCTAGCCCCGTGAGTGATCTTGGGGAGAACTTGAAGCCTTTGGATCCGGTGAAAACCCGGAAAGGGAAATCGGGTTCAAATTCGTTGTCCAGGAGTTTGGATTATGACTGTGATAGTAAGGTGTTTCAATCTCGTGCAATGCTTGATGAGAGTAGTAGTAGGAGTGTTCCTTTTGTTGGTCCTAGTGCTAAGAGGTTGAGTTTATATTTTGGAGGTCCTGCTGAGATGTTAAAAGAAGATAATAAGCTAAAGCCGAATGCCGTTGCTAGCGACCTCACTGCATCCGATACTGATAGTGTGTCCTCCTGGAGCACCAATTCTGGTATCCAAGAATGTGGAGGAAGTGGTCTTCTGAAAGGGAGGAGTGTGCCTCGGAATATTGGAGTGTCTGCAAGGTTTTGGCGGGAACTAACAGTCGGTTAAGGCGGTTGCAGGCCCCAGGTTCGGCTTTTTGTGCTAGCCCTGGCTCTAGAATTGGTGGTTCGGCTAAGTTTATTCAGTCAACAAGGTTTTCTACTGATGGTGCTATGTCTTCTTTGTGGACAAGACCTGCTTCTCCTAGTAAGCTTTGGATACCTTCAGCTTCAACTCCGTCGAGGGGGCTAAGTTCTGCTCGGGTGAGAAATGCAGCTGGTGATCAGATGATTGATAATTCTATCAATACTCCTTTGAATCCGAGCTTTTCCATTGATATTCAGATAGGAAAGAACGGGGAGGATCAGATAGTCGATGCTCACGTCTCGAGGCTTCTTTATAACCGGTACTTGCAATGGAGATTCACAAATGCAAAGGCGGATGCCACTTTCATGACACAGAAGCTGAGTGTAGAGGTATGAATTCCCTGCCTGTCCATCTCGTTGTTCTTGAATAATAGTCGGTTCGATATGAAAACAAACTAGGTCTAGACAACAATACATCTGACCTGAGGTTTAACATTATGGTCTCTAATATGTCTGGTATGCCTGAAACCGATTTCGCTCCGTTTTGCATCAGAAATACCTGTGGAGTGCTCGGGTGAAAACATTGGAACTGCGGCACTTGGTCACGCTAATGAGAATCAAGATGCTATTGCTGAGTCAAAAATTGAAACTAACTTCCATCCTGAAGGGACAAGTAAGATTTGAAACTTCCATTGCATTTATTAAGTATCGAATCGGTTCTTCATAGTCCACACGGAGTTTTGCCTTCTTCATAGTAATCATACGGTACACGTAATTCATGTGCAGATAGCTCATTTAGAGGCATGGACGCTCGTCGAAAGAGACCACGCTAGTTCTTTGCTGGGAGCAAGTGAAGCTTTAAAGAAGCAGTAGTGAGTTTCTTCCTTTTCCCCCCTTGCTTTTCGGTATATGATCTGTTCTTGGTTCAGTTTCATAGCTATCGGTGAGGTTTAATGTGCTGCTCTTGCTCCTCTTCCCTTCCGTCATTCTCTTATGCAGATATCAAAAATCTGAAGAATGCTGTTAGTTCGGCGGGTGACGTGATGCAGGCAATTGTATCCTCAATTTGCACGCTATCGTCAAAGGTAAAAGATTGTTAATCTAACACATAATCTACCGAATTATCCGAACTTGGTTTATCCGTTGCAGGCCGAGGAAATGAATTCTCTAGTGGCCAAACTCTCGAGCGAGACCATGAAAGAAACGGTTTTGCTCGAACAATGTAACGACTTCCTATCCGCCTTAGCAGCCATTCAGGCAAAAGTACTGCATTTTCTTTAATTTCCCAAGATATTATCTGCTCATATGGCATATTAGAATCAATCTTTTCATCAGGTTAAAGACTGTAGCTTGAGTTCACATAGAATGCAAGTAAATCATGTATTGAACTGATCTTGTTTGACTACTCACCCGAAATGCTAACATTCCACCCGAAAGCTCTCGTTTTTTTTCTGATGGGTCGAGGCGGCGATGGACAAAAACAAGAGCTGACTGAATCTAGCCAGGTTTGGCTTCTCATTTTAGCAGTTTCGGTAACCCATTATCATGATTTATTGGCCTACTTTGATTCATCATCTAAGTTTGGCTTAATATCACTTATGACCCCTGTACTTTACCCAAATCCCTAGTTTGGCTCTTGAACTATCATTTTATCAAGCACTTTATCCTGTCTTAAAAAAAAGATGACATAGCACAAAAATTCTTGAAAAGGCAAAAAATTCAAATAAAATCATAAAAATGCAAAAATACCCTAAAAATATAGGGGTCAAACTGAAAATCTGGGTAAAGTACAGGGGCCAAAGTGGTATTAAGCCATATATATATAGGTAGATACACATCTTCCATAAGCAAAACAAATATGCTTAATTTTGCTAAATTAACACAAGACCTAAGCTCTTGAGTTTACATTCTTCCATTTTAGCTGAACCAAGAGTTTCCGATCAATCTGAACAACTAATCTGACAATGGCTTCCTTTGCTTGACCAGACCCTCTTAAATATCTTCTTCGACTTCAGCAAGCTTTTCACTTTAGTAATGGCACCATTGCCGAATATTAAGGCACCGTTGAGCTCATCGGATGTTGCCGGTGCATCCCGATCTTCCTCAGGGTTGGTTGGTGCTGCCATTGTGCTCCCATGAGACCCCTTCTTTTGACCCTTCCGGTCTTTGCGAGTGTTACTTCCCAATGAAGCAGCAGCCCGGACCTGATCGAAAAACAGAACCTGCATAACTACAAGCGACAGGAGTCTCGTTTCGAATCACATGCATACGTGCATCGACTGATAGTTTATTGCAGTTGATTAACTTGCATATTCTTGTTCTCTCACTTTTGCTTAACACTGGGTGTTCCTGCATGGAAATAGAATACACTTAGAGTTGGTTTGCCTTTGTCTACGTTACTCGGACTCGGGAGTCGGTGTCAGATAAGGGTATATGTCCACATGTATGTTTGTATCGAAATGCCAATGTCGGATATGAGTATCAGATTCGGGTACTAAAAGTGAAATAAAGAGTTGGAACAGCATGAACCTCAGACATTGACTAGTTCAAAAAGTTCATTGATGTTCATCGAAATTGATGGGGTTTTGGTAAGATTCTCACCTTAAGACACACGTCAATGGCTCGATAAAGCTGATCATGATTCGACTGAGAGATGCCGGAAGCCATTTCAGCAAGGTCTACGAACTTTGACAATGGTAAGCTGGGATCCTTGGAAATTTCAGCAAGGTATGCATCTATCTATTTTGCCACCATCATCTTGGAAGGATCTGTCAAAATTCCAGGTCTTTTTATTTCTGGGATCTCGTTTTCTTCCAACTCGAATTCGGAATTCTGATCTTGCATCAGAAACTCTTGTACTATTTTCTGCACCACATCAACATCATACATTTCATCTTCCCCTTCTGCTGTTCGTATCAAAAGATCGTTCACGGAAGCCTCCTTCAGGTGCCGTCCGATTTGGTGGACCAGCAGTTCGGTAGCCATCTCTCCCGAGTCAATGATGATGGCTGCTTTCAACAACTTCAGCAAGAAACTGCATGATACACTTCCTCTCTCTGCAGGCAACAACAAGATGATTGTATCAACCGTTGATCGATATTTCACAACATCTCTCGAATAGATAACACCCTTACTAAAGCCTGGCAATCTTATGTATGAATAAGCTTTCAATGCTTCTCCAATCACTTCATGTGATAGTATTCCTTTGGTTTTAATCTTCATCATAATACACTTATACAGATCGATCTCAAGTTTACACAAATCTTCGACCCACCAGTCTTTCGACACAGGTCGACTTCCAATACTGTTACTGCTCTCATCCGGGAGCCTCCTCTGGTTATAAGTGTAGGACCAATCAACTTTGGATACATCGAAGCAAGCCTTGGCAGCTATAGCATCGATGCAAAGACCGACCAGCATCGATTCTTCTGGTAATGGTAACACAGATTTAGCAGTTTGAAGAACGATGATGGAATCCTTCCAGCTGTGGAAGATGGTCGAGTTGAGGAAGACATCTATCTTGTATATCAGGTTCCCTTTTTCAATGGTCTCGTGCATTCCTAAGTACTCGGCTGCACAACGAGCGGCAATAACGTTGTAAGCGTTAAGGGTGATGGCAATCCCATAACAAAATTTGACACATATCTCGAAGGAAGCTGGACCTCTGGGGATGTCGGAAATCTGAATTTCATCGCCGGTTTCTTCGTTTCCATCTGCAATCAGCTTTAGTAAGCTGACACTTCTTGACAGAAGAGGAAACTGCATACATACTTTCATTCATGATTTTTTGCGAATATACTCGTATCGGATATACATTCGACTCCGAATAACGACGGTACACAATACTTGACACTTGATCATAGATGAAAATTCATCCGAACTTGAAGAAAATTCGTACCTTGTGTAAATAAAACATAACATCCCCAACAATAATAATGATGTCAGTCGCTAGCTCACTTGCTACAAATCTGAACATGGGTATACAAGCTTAAAACCATCATATCTGTTCAAAGTTCATACATGTCGTATTCATATTCAATACTCACATCACGATCTTTCAAAATTTCTTTGGCTTCGAAATAAGTAGAACGTATCGAATCATAGATTGCAAACAAGGGTCCGAGAGATCTCACCTTACATTCTTGCCATCGCTCCGAAACGTATCTGGCTTTGATCTAAGCTTCATAAACTTCATATCCCTTCACTGTGAAACCACCAAAACCATAGACAGCAAGTATCGATTTTAGACCGACGTCCGGTGGATCGAGTGGCGAGGAACTCGACGTCCTTTAAACAAGGCTCGGGTTCAAGCTTAGTGGATGAAGAAAACGACGCTGGAAGAGCTTTGCAAATCTGGGTGCATGAGATTCACTGGGAAGCCAATTGCATGATGATAAGAGTAATGTGTAAAATATAAGTAAAGGTATATGTTTAGCTGGTTGTAGTTACGCCTAATACAAAGCTTCCTCAAACTACTAATATATTCTTAAATCATGAGATGTTGTGATTAGGGTGAGTATACACAGAAAGTAATGCGTTATAACCGAAAATTTTATTTTTATTTTTTCGAGTCCAATTATTTGAGTTTTTATTTAAAATTAATTATAAATATTTATAATGCTATGATACTATTTAATTCCAATCTAAATGATTTTTTATAATCATATACATATACATCTTTTCATATTTTTTTACATGTGATATACATATATCTTGCTGAGCTGAGGGATTCAACTCAAATTTGAAAACAATCATCTAATTACTAAAAATTTTGAGTTATTCAAGTTCTATTTTATATCTAGACTAGAATTGAATTTTTTCGAGTCGAGTTAAGTATTAATCGGGTTCGATTCTCATCCATGAAAATAAAATACATTATGTGATCAATCTTTTATCTCTTAGTGAATTATCCGCAACGAGGAAATTAATTATCGTTATTTTTAGATTTTTTAATTTTTTATCGATAGATTTTTTAAATTTTCAATTCGAAATAAATTATTTTGAAGTAAGGATGAATATTTGATAATATCGGATGAAATGAAAACAAATTTAACCATCGATTTGATAAGTTTTATCTTATCATTTGAATTTTTATTAGGCTTACTTATCGGTTTTCGTAAAGTACGATGACTATATCATTACAAATTGACGTTTATTCTTTATTTATTTTTTTTATAAAATAGAGGGATGGAATTTATAATTATTTTTTATCTTGCATTTATCCAAAGCCCTAGAACTAAATTGGGGTGGGCCGTTATCTAAACCCTAAATTCACTGATCCCAATAACATTTGGGCTCTACGTGGAAATGGATTCTCGGAATTTAGGGCTAAGAGGATTTTATTCAAATAAATTATGTGATTAAACTCACTTTTTTATTTCCTGGAAAATCCTGAAACTTCATTCTCTGGTTAGCATCGACAGTTTGCTTACTTGAAGCAGACGCATCTCCTCTCTCATGGCGGCCTCGCAGCTCTTATCGTTAACAGCGCCAAACTCAGAAGCGATGGGCACCTTTATCGGAGCCTCTAAATCGTCTTTCATCACCGGCACCAAGCTCTTCTCGTTGACAAAGCGCTGTTCTCGAAAGCCCACTGCTCAGAAATGCTTCAAACCTGCCTTTGCTAAGTCAATAGACCATATCCCCAAGCAATTCAGAGAACAAAATCTCAAAGATGGATGTCAGTTTTTTATTTTTCCATATTTTTTAAAGCTAAGAACATAATTTTGTTATGCGTTTCTTTTCTATTCTCTACTGATTATATTGAAATTGATTTTAAGTGACCTAAATTACTTTTTAAACCTTCCGTTTTGAACCCAATTGTTGATTCTTTTAGAAAGGGTTTTGGGATTTGGGAACAATGGTTTTAATTCTACTTTTAGTTTAAAGAACATAGCAAGTGTTAGTTGGAGTTTCTTTTTATATTGTTGCAGTCATAAACATGGAGCCTGGAAAATGAATATATTGAACTGATTTAATTAATCCATGTATTTATTAGGTGATATTATTACTTCTAGATGGAGTTTTGATGGTTTATTCGTTATTTGAGTTATGAAATTATCACAACCTGCTTTGAGTTGGATTCATTTGAAGAGATTTGATGGTTTATTCGTTATTTGAGTTATGAAATTATCACAAGCTGCTTTGACTGGAATTCATTTGAAGTTAAGACTAAAAGTTACTTTTTTATTGTTGTATAGTGATGGACAATTATAAAAATGTACCTGGATATCTTTATGGTCTTAGTCCTTCACAAATGGACATGTTCATGACCGAAGATAATCCCGTCCGTCGACAATCTGAAACTGTTACTGAGGTTTGCTCCTTTCTTTAACCCTTTTCTTAATCGCAGTTCACAGATGATGGTTGATGTACAAAATTAGTGTTAACCGTAGAACCTAGCACTTACACATTTTTTCCGACATTTTCCAGGAAAGTATTTCATCTGCTAGAAACTATTTGGATTATGGGGGTATGTGGAGTATGTCAAGCATTAACGATAGAGGTCCTTCTAAATATAGTATGAGTGTAAGCATGTATCGTGGAGGGGCCAGAGGATCCGGAAGGCCTAGAACTGCTCCACCAGATTTGCCTTCGTTGCTCTTAGATGCTCGGATATGTTATCTTGGCATGCCGGTAAGTCTCCATTCCATATCTGGCCTATAATCCTGCGTGGTGGCTAATTTCTAATTTGATGGTGTCTTTTAATCTTTCTTCTGTAGATTGTACCAGCAGTGGCTGAGCTTATTGTTGCTCAACTAATGTGGTTAGATTATGACAACCCTACGAAACCTATATACTTGTACATCAATTCATCTGGGACACAGGTTAGAAGAATGTTTCTAATTCTTGATCAGTCCCCTCAACTTCTTTGAAACATTATTCCTTTCTGACATATCAGAATCATATACCGGAAGTTTTCATACCTATTCGTGTTGATTGATTGCTTCTGAACTATATAGGATGAGAAGATGGAGACCGTTGGATCAGAAACCGAGGCATATGCCATAGTTGACACCATGGCTGTGAGTATCATGATAATAAAATATTTATGTTGATATTTATGAATTTATCTTTCATTGAATGAGGCAAACTTCTGAAGAAGTTCAATATTTTACAAGCGCAGTGGTTTTTGTTTTGTTCCACACAAGGATCATGATGGTGTCTGTTTGTCATTTTAGTTATGATTTAAGGGGAAATAGCTCAGTTAAATAGTTTTTCGATATAAGTTGTTATTGCTTTGGATTATCATTCTTATTTAGCTGTTGGATTTGATTTAAATTTAACTCCTTCACTTTTATATTTCTGTATACCCGAAGTACTGCAAATCAGAGTTCTACACTGTGAATTGTGGCATGGCATTTGGTCAAGCAGCAATGCTTCTATCTCAAGGAGCTAAGGGTTATCGTGCTGTACAGCCGAATTCATCCAGTATGATTCAATTCCTCTTTGTAACTTTGAAGACGAGAATAAATTATGTTGAGAAATATTTTCTTTTTCCCCCTACTCTGTCTGAGGTTGGCAATGCCACCCATGAGTCTCGACTCGATTTTCACTATCTTGTTTAGAATCATTTGTTCATAATTTCAAAACTTACCTGCCTAGTAAATGTTTTGCTATAGGGTTGCAAGATCAAAATTTTGACCATCTTATCATTTCCTTTTTCAACTTTAGAGCCCATGTTTCTTCTGAATTTCAAAAGGGGCCATGAGTTTGCTGGCCATATAAACTTTTAAGCTCCCTTTTTTGTCATGGTAGTAATTGATGTTCATGTTCTCCTTTTTCATGTTTTATATACTTGCAGCTAAGTTATATCTACCTAAAGTCAGCAGATCTAGTGGGGCTGTCATAGATATGTGGATAAAGGTGCTCTTTTTCTCTATCCCCTTATACTTTGTATATTTGCATGCTTATTTTAGCTTCTTTTCTGATATATATATATATATGTGTGTGTGTGTGTGTGTGTGTGTTATTTTCAGGCCAAGGAACTTGATGCAAACACTGAGTCCTACATTGAGCTAGTAGCAAAAGGCACAGGGAAGACCAAGGAAGAAATTGAGAAAGATATTCAGCGTCCTAAATATTTCCAAGCGCAAGAAGCCATAGACTATGGCCTTGCTGATAAGATAATCGACTCAAGAGATGCTGCATTCGAGAAACGGGTAGTGTTTTTGTTACCATTTCACTTGTTCTGAGTTCTTAGTACTTATATCTAACACTCATATCTAATGCTCATTCAGACATGATTATTGTGACACATACTCATACTAGAGTCCGAATAACATAGTTTTTCGCTGTGCTTTTTTCCTTGAACTTCATGCACCTATAGCCATCCTTTTACTAAGTTGTTTTTCTATTGTTTCTTGGTCAGAATTATGATGAGATGCTTGCTCAATCAAAAGCAATGAGGAGATCTGCAGGTGGTCCACAAGCGGCTCCGTCCGGGTTCAGGTGATTTAAGAGTTTGATAGCATGGCATAACCGTACAACACATAAAGTGAAAACCTTTGTATGTCTACCCTTAGTTCCCTTCATGCCGTACGAATGATCTGGCAATACTTTTATTTGTAATGTTTTTATGTTTTCATGCATCGTAATCATAATATTACGTTATATAAATTTTGATAGGTTAATGATTCGTGGTATATAAGATTTTGATATATTTGTGCATTTCGAATGCGAAAATATCTAAACAAAAAATGATCTGAATTGTATATGTCATAACCATTTTTAGGTGGAACAATAGTTTATTGTTCTAAAAATAGTTACGACTTTTGATTTTGGAAAATGGTGATTTTGAATTAAATTGGATAAAATTGAAAGGAGTCGTTATCAACTTTTGAGTTAGGTAGGTCGAATACTTAAAAATATCTTTTAAAAATAATTTTAAGAAAAATCGTTTTTTAAGACAAAAGTTGATATGCGTTTACCAAAGATTCGATTAAAATGAGTTCGGGAGTTGGTTACACGATTGGAAGGATTAACACCCCACAACGCCTAAAATTAGTATTGTGTTGCTTACATATTATCGTAAATGGTAGAAATGATAAATCAAATATAAAGTTAAATTATGATTCATTTATCAAAATTGGATTAATTAGCTTCGAATTAATTATTTAAAGAAAATCTTTTAACTCAATAAAAAATCTTGAAATTTGCAATCCTTCGTTGGAAAATCTATTTCAACCATTTCCATTGTTAAAAGAATATTCCATCTTTAAATGACACATATCAAAATGAAAATGAATATTGACATTTGCGTACAATAATATAAATTGCGATTTAGAAACATACATTACATTGTTCAAAGTAAAATACAGAACGAATTGATTAGCAAAATAAAATTGATTTATTTCAAGTTCGTATTTGGTTCGAATGTTGTATCGGATTAAACCACTTCGATCAAGCGATGCTTTCCACACCCATTCTACAAATCGTTGTTCTTGAAGATTTTCGAATATGAATAAAACTATTTTCATAAAGAATGCAATTACTATTTTAGAACTTTATAAAATACTAAACTTCTAAAATAAATAATATAATATACTTAATAAATTTAACTTATATATATATATATACATATAATAGTTACAACGCACACTTTATTATAATATGAGCTTTAAATGCAACCCGTGCAAATATGAAAGTCCAAAAATAAATAACCATAAACACTTGACTAAATTAAATAATATTAATCTTAAGGTCACGAATCAAAAGCAAAGCAATAATCATGAAAGACATATAAATATCAAATACTATCAACCCCATGAACGCAATAAGACCAATATATCATACTTGGGAACTGAAACATGAAACATTAAAATCACGAGACAAATGTATAAACAACAGAAAGACAAAATAATAAAGCAAATGGGATTAAAATGAACTAATATAAACATTCACTACTTAAGTATAAATAAAATTAAATACGGTGACCTGACTTAAATAAAACCATAAAACATTGAAATGTAAATAGGGATGAAAATACAAGCACTATAAATGTAAATAACAGAATCTATTGAAAAAAATGAGGAGGTAACCTTCCTCTGTCAAACTTTTAGTATTATATTAACAAATAATTATTTAATTAAAAGTAGCTCTTCTCTTGTCTTCAGTGGTTAGGTGCTTTGTGGCCTAACTAACTTTGACAAAGCTTATCTAAACTCACGCAATGGAAATCAAATTAAGAAAGAAAAAAAATATCCCAGTTGATTAAATCAAATATTTACATCTGCAAGCTCTATTTAAACCACAACCACCTAAATAATATTTAGGGCTAAAATACAAATTTTTAAAATTACATGTTAAAATCAAAATAATTAAAATTACAGAATTTACAGTGTCAAAATAAACACGCATAATATAGTATGGCCAAATCAAAAACAATACTCTTTATGGAGGACTTAACATGGTAAATAAACCAAAATAAGAAGATCAAACATAAAGATAATCCATTTAATTTCATGGCATAAATATGAAATTACAATATTAAAGGGAACAAAAAAGTAATTATCCCACGCACGAAAATACAACCCTAGTCCCTTATGAAACGGCGTCGTTTATATATATATATATATATATGTGAAACAAATAGCCAAAATAAACCTCCCTTACCTATTTGTTTCCAGTTTTGAAAGAGAGAGCAAACGAGAGAGCTCTAAAAAGCTCTCAAACACCGGCGAGGAGCAACCACACCGACCGCCGTAAAACCGTCGTTCGTCGCCGTTCGCCGTAGATTAAAGGGAGCGAGGAGACCACCACTCGAAGCGTCTCTACCTCCTCTGTAAGAATCTAAGTTTGGTTTTGTTTAAAAATGCCTCAAAAGCCACAGATCTAAAGAGATCTATTCGACTTTGGGATTCCGGTGACTTTCCTTCTCTTTTTCCTTGTTTCTGTTTATATCTCTCGGTTTTCTTTTTTTCTTTGTTCCCCAAGTTCCTCTCCTCTCTGATTTTCTCTCGATTGTTGATGATTTGTTGTCTTTGACTTTGGGTTATTGATTGAACTTTCGGTGGCTGTGGCTGTTTGGCAGGTTTCGGTGATGGCTCAGATGGTGACGATGGTGGCTTCGGCTTGAATGGCTCGTCGGTGGCTCGGCTGGAATCTGAAATATTACTGGCGGTGGCGATTAGGGTTTCTTGAGATGAAACCCTAATTAATTTTGGGTTATCAACTGGGTCGGTTTAGAACCGAGCTTGAACCGGGTTTGGATCGGGTTCCCATGTCTGCTGCCGATGGGTTGTATTTTGTAATCTGTTGGGCTTTAATTCCTGCCAAATGTAAAATTATCATTAATAAAACTAATAATAATAATAATATTAATAATAATACTAATAAATAATAAATATAATATTTTTTTAACCCGGAAAAATGGGTGTCTACAATATATTAAATTGACATGTTTGCCAATTACAAAAAAGTACTTGGGTTAGTTGATTTCTGTTAGTTTGATGCCAAGCTGAAGAGTTTCAACCGTCAGCAAATTGCATTCATATTTTCCAAAACCATTGCAGTTCTTTCAACATGCTTCAACATCACTTCATATATTTTGTTCCTCACCCTTTCATATGCTTTGAATTCGAAACCTCCTGATTGATATTTGCCATCACTTTCCATCGTATCTAACCAATCATTCAATCTCTTGATCTGACACACAGATTCAGCTACCTGAGTCCTGACTATGAGGTACCTTTGAAAGGCATTCGTTATCGGAACTGTCTAAATAATTCTCTATATAAGCTAAAAACAATGCTTCACATTCATCTTGCAATGCAACTGCAAGGTTTCTAGCTATATTCAAGCTACTTCCCTTCAACCAATTCGGTATATTTTCCTTCTCAGCTACCAAATCATTGTGAAATTCACCATTGCTCCTTTGCTTCTTTGCTTCGAATCGTATAACCACCTTTCAGCATCATAATCTGACCTGGTTGTTTCGTGTTTTTCGCTTCAATTTTACCCCCTTTGGTTCCACTTGTAGAGAGGGGGACAAAATCAGATGCCACAGCAGCTTTAACCCATGTGGTTGCATTTCTCGATCGGTTGACGGCTGGTTTTAGTGCTTCCCTGGTCGAACTGGGACTAATTAGATCACAATCAGTCAATCTTTGGGGACTAATATTGGCTAATGACTGAATGATTGTTCTACACTGAGCCATGTAGTCTTGCAGCTTGAAGAACTTGTTAATTGAAGGCTGTTGATCATCTTCTTTTGCCAACCGAAGCTCCGAAAACTTGCTGAAAGAAATATGAAAGGAATTTAATGAAATATCCTGCCATGGCAGACTCGAGTACAACTCTCAACGTATATTCGGATATGGATACTTAAAGAAAATTGAGTACATTTCCTTACCTTAAGCACTTGAGCAATGTCTCAGTAGCAGCAGCCTTTTGCAAAGCTTCAACAGCAGCCAGCAGAGTGACATCTCTTTGCCTTAGTACTTCCTGCAGATATGTCAACAAAAGTTATGGGATTTTAAGGGCAGGGGAAGTGAAATAAAGGGCAAACAAAACTCAACTCAAGCAAAATGGGAATACCTTCCCTAGTTTGACTAAAGAAGACGGAAGGGTATCCCATAACATCTCAGTTTCTTCCCATATTTTGCTATTGGATGAATCTCTTTTCCTTGCTTCAGTCGAAGGCTCCTTACTTGTTCTTCTACCTGATGAAGAGTTCCAACTTTTGCTTGTACTTTTAATTGGTTTTGAGGATTGACTAACTTTTTTTATACCTAATCTAGAGTTTGAATTATCATCATGTTAGCTGAAAAATCTAGCAGACCCAACTGATGAAGCCTGCAAAGTTAGAAAAGTATATATTGGCCTATTGGTATAAGAAAGGGATACAAGAATGTTATCCGAACCTCAAAATCTGTTCCATGCAAGTTCATTTTTCTTGAAACATTCATTTGATATATGGTTAGATGTGTATATGAAAAGCATAGAAAAAAACAAAAAAATCACGCATAACATGTAGGACACTTGTCCAAATCTGACACTCACCCGAGTTTAACTATTTGACATATAGTTAGATATGTGCATAAATGCAAGACAAATTTCGAAAAAATTGAACATATTATGTAGGACGTTCAAATCCGACACGCACGCAAATTCAATCATATGATATATATTTAGATATGTGTATAAATACAAGACAAACATAAAAAAAAATTGAGCATGCTATATAGGAAACATGTCTAAATCTGACACTCACCCAAGTTCAACCATATGATATATAATTAGATAGGTGTATAACAAACATCCAAAAAATTGTGCATATCATGCAGGACACATGTCTAAATATGACACTCACTCAAGTTCAACCATTTGATATATAATTAGATATGTGTATAAATACAAGACGAACATCGAAAAAAATTGGACATACCACATAGGACACATATCCAAATCCGACATTCACCCGAGTTCAACCATATTAGCTATGGGATAAACTTAGAATATTGTTGCACAGATAAAGGACCGAGAAATGAGACTTACATGAGAATTAGAACTATGTAAACCCTGTTTATTTCTTAAATAACCCACGTCAAAGCCTTGATTGTTAAGACCATGAGTCCTGGTTCTACAGTTTAGTCCCCCGATACTTGCTCTTCGGTCCCTTGAGGGTGCCTTACAAGGACTCATAGATCAAGCCCTTTAAGTTCTTTGTTGCACCAACAATGGCCACTCCAGTATATCCATGCCAACAAGATCTTTGGGATACTTGTCAAATGGACGTCTCCCTGGAATTGGCCTTAACCCTTTAGGCAACGGAACTGGATAAGCTGACTCAATTCCTGCACATATATGAACTGCCCGATATGTAACTTGTTCTTTAGAATCATTTCGTCTTGTTCTTGAGGCAAAGAAACAAACACTTCGTGGGTTGAATCCGATACTTTGATGACAAAGCCTCGATTAGGCAAAAGATCGCCGTCTGACAACTCTGGGATTATGCTTATGATATGTAACAAGACGGGTCTCTTGTGAGGAGGATCTTCACAATGATTTATCACTGTTTTTTCTTGAACACCCATGGTTGAAAGAAGATTCAAAATGACTCCAGATTGCAGATTTTCCATGGTTCTTTGAAAAGCAATCAGGATTTCAGAAAGGAAATGGAATGTGATGGTTATAATTTGAGGTTTGATTTTTCTTTCCAGGGATTTAGAAGCTGTGATTTGTGTTCTTGGATGCTTGGTTTCAGGGTTGGTTAACCGCAATGAAGAGTTAACTTTTAGCGGTAAGTAGGCAAAATAAGAATTAAGAGCGAGCAAAAGACTCGGAAAATTAAATATTTTAATTTGATATAAAAGAAATTTAAATTTAAATCAAATCATAAAATAAAACTTAAATAATTTGAAGTTTTAATAATCAGTAAATTAATTTTTAAATTTAATTTCAATTTCTTAACTTTACATAATATATATAAGAAAAAATTGAAGAAATATATGTATATATTGCATATAGTTGTAGAAACATGTTTATATTTGAATTAAATAATACTATAAATATTTACAATTAAATTTAAATAAAAACTAGGATAATTAGACTTGAATATACTAACTCGAATTTTTTTTATATAAAGTTTAGGTTATAAAATATTACTCGTCAACTCGAATAACTTATCTTTTTTTTTAACTCGACTCTATCGAAAATTCATCCCTAATAAGGTTTGATTCTGATGATGATCCTAATATTTAACCTTATTCTTTTTAGTTGTCCTCTCAGTTCCAAGATTTCATCCTGACTAATCTAGACTGACTCGCATTGCACACATCACTTTGGTGGGTGAGTTTCACAACGAAATTTTTTTATATTTACAAAATCTCAAACTCGAAATCTACTTAAATAGTATCAAACTACTTACCACTTGAATCAAATATCATCGATCCTAATATTTATCCTTCTAATTATTCCAAAATCAAATCCCAAGCCACTAGTAAATTCAAAGCATAAGGTATACGAAGATATTCCATTTGGACGTGCCTTGGTGGGCTCAGCAAATCGTCCCTTTTCTCTCTTCGAATACACCCTTCATTGAGTGCACACTTCTATCTTTATCCAACGTGTCCTTTTCTCCTTAAATAATTAACTCTGAATTATAAAATATTTTTTACTCAATAATCAAGTTCGATAATTTTAATAAACGTAAGATTTTATATTATGAGTATGAATTCTTAAAATTATATTATAAAACTCAAGAGATATAAAATAAACCATTAATAAAAATTATAAATAAAAGGCATATAATATATGAGAATTTAAAATTTAAATATAACCTATGAATTTGATTTTAAATTATATAATTAGCGAGTGGTAACCATGACATTACTACCAGCTTACTAAGAGAAGGATACTTAGAAATTGTGTTCTTTAGTTGGTTTAGCAAAGTCAGAAAACAGACCAATACCAAAATGTAATAATTAAAAAAAAACACTATGCATTTTTAAAATATAATCTAAAAATGAACTTTTCATATGATTACGTGCTTATCTTTCTTGCTTAAGAGGAACGTGTTTCTCCAAATAGAAACAAAATAATAGAGCATTAATGAAGATTGATTTTAAGATATTAATGTTGTAGTTAATGATTCGGGTTTCGGTTTAGTTTAGTTTAAAAATTTTACGTTGAGATCTAATCAGTAAAAAACTTAAGTTTAGAGAAAGTATGAAGATATTATGTAGATGTGAAGGTTCGCGATACGATTTGTAGCTATTCTTCTTAATAACGTATCGTCTTGAAAGTTGAGTTGTTCCATTAGTGACAATGGAAACGCTAAACTTAGTATTATATTGCCCCACCTAATTTAGGACTATAAAATCAACATTATTGTGTGGTCCATGTATGTACAATGCCATGGAGGGTTAAAGATGCTTTTGTTTTGTGTAAGCATCAAAGTATCATTAGCTTCACTAGTCATTACTTCCTAAATAGGGGAACTCGTGTTATTCCTCGCATTGCAAGCAACCCATGTTATTCTAAATACGAGAAAGGCAACTAGGCAAGGAAAATGTCAAATTCTAATGTTAGTCCCTATAATATAAGTAATTTGTAGGTTTAATCATTAAACTTTTGCTCCATCATTTATAATCTCTATACTTTTTAAATTTTAAAATTCCGATCATTGTAATTTAAACCTATAGTTTATTGCAAGAACCAACTGACCTCAGTGTTAAGGGACTCATTATTCTCTTTAGGGTTATAGGTCGAGCATCGACAGGGGTATGAGCGTTCATAGTTAATTGGGTGAGAGTCTTTGAACATATATTACCTTGTATTTACCCAAATGTATAAAAAAAACCTATAGTTTATTGAGAGAAGATAAACACATCACTTTAATCAATCCATTGTTCAATTAGTGGTATTTTTTTAATAGTTTGTGGTGGTTATATGATAGCATATGTTCATAATATTTTTTAGCTGTTGATGCACACACCCTATAGATGTAATTGTTAGAACTTTTTATCTCTAGAGAGAACAATATTCTCTTTTACCATTGAGGTCGCTCAATGGGTTCAATTTTGCTCTAGGTCCTTTTTTAACTTTTGTTTTTTTTTTTAAATTTATTTATGATCTAAAAGATAATTTTTATGTCAAATTTTGTTGTTAGTCCTTACACTATGCATAAGTTATAAAATTAATTCATATTCTCTAATTTAATCATATGTGGTCCTTGTAATTTAGTCACATTGTTGTTGAATCATTCCCGTAAGAACTGAAATTTCAAAATCCAAAAAGCATAGAGACTAATGATAGAATTTGACCAAAAGAAAAATAACAACCAGCCTAAAGGCAACAAGGCAAAGAAATGGTCAATTTTTTGGTAGTCCCCACAATTTGCATACGTTATGATTTGGTCCTTCTACTTCAATAATTTTAAATCCCTGCATTTTAAAATTTTAATTTCAGTCCTTGCAATTTAGTCACGTTGTTCCTATACCGATTGGGTTAGGACGGAAAATTTTAAATTCAAAAAGTAATGTAACTAAAATTGATGAAATTAGAACATAGAAACTAAATCCACAATTTATGCATAGTACACGGATTAATAGCAGAATTTGACCCAAAGAAAAAAAACAGCTCAAGTGCTCAACCCTTGAAACTTCAACTTCTACTATTATCCATAATACAGGGACTAATGGCGAAATTTGACCCAAAGAAGAAAAAGACCAGACCAACCCTTGAAACTTCAACTTCTACTATAAATAAACTGCATGCTTGCAAATATTCCACCATGAAAGGTGACCTAAAACCAGCAAGAAAAAACACCATGAATTTAAAAACCCAGTTTTCTTTTGCTTTATGCCTCTCGTTTTTCTTAGTAATCGTCCCATGTAACACTCAGGCTCCGCCGTTTGCATGTGACAAAAATGACCCTAACACGAGCCGGTTCCGATTCTGTAACACTTCCTTGTCCTACGAGGATCGAGCCAGGGACCTTGTTTCACGATTGACACTCCAAGAAAAGGTGCAACAGCTCGTAAACAACGCCTCCGGCATTTCCCGGCTCGGGGTGCCTGCCTACGAGTGGTGGTCCGAGGCGCTTCATGGCGTCTCGAATGTCGGCCAGGGCATTCGGTTCAACGCCACGGTGCCTGGTGCCACTAGTTTCCCCGCCGTGATTTTATCCGCCGCGAGCTTCAACGTCACGTTGTGGCTTGAGATGGGGCGGGTAGTGTCAACCGAGGCTCGAGCCATGTACAACGTCGGTCTAGCTGGTTTGACATACTGGAGCCCTAATGTCAATGTGTTCAGGGACCCGAGATGGGGTCGTGGCCAAGAAACGCCCGGGGAGGACCCTACTGTGGTCTCGAGATACGCCGTGAATTATGTTCGGGGACTGCAAGAAGTCGACGGTTTCTCCGGGGACGGGGACAAGCTTAAGGTTTCGAGTTGTTGCAAGCATTACACCGCTTATGATTTGGACAATTGGAAAGGCGTGGATCGGTTCCATTTTGATGCAAAGGTATGCAAAACTTAGAGTTGGTTAATTAACAAACATCAAATACGTGTTGTCACATTATTATACGTGTCCGATACGTTTATTTTACGAAAAATGAAAAGTTCGAATATCATAAATTACGATATTTTTCTTCAGGTTACAAAGCAGGACTTGGAAGATACGTATCAGCCACCATTTAAGAGTTGTGTGCAGGAAGGACATGTGAGCAGTGTAATGTGCTCATACAATAGGGTCAATGGAGTCCCAACTTGTGCTGATCCAGACCTTCTTAAAGGCATAGTTAGAGGCCAATGGGGTCTTGATGGGTATATTTCTATTTCTCCATACTCAAAAAAAAAAAGGATAAAATCGAGCCATGCTACTATCATAACATGATTGTTTCGGAAAGTGTTCGATCGATAACGTCATAATCAACATTTTTACTTCGTTTTTGACAGATACATCGTTTCCGACTGTGACTCGGTCGAGGTTTATAATGATGCCATCCATTATACTGCTACACATGAAGATGCAGTGGCCCTTGCTTTGAAAGCTGGTTTAAACATGAATTGTGGGGATTATTTGGGGAAATACACAGTGAATGCAGTTAACTTGAAGAAAGTAGATGAATCTGTTATTGACCAGGCTTTAGTATATAACTATATAGTACTTATGCGGCTCGGTTTCTTCGATGGAAACCCGAAACAGCTTCCATTTGGCAACCTCGGTCCGTCCGATGTATGTACCGATGATCATCAGCGTCTAGCCCTTGATGCTGCCAAGCAGGGAATAGTTTTACTCGACAACCACGGAGTTCTTCCTCTGTCTAATACAGTCACGAAAAATTTAGCCGTCATTGGACCAAACGCTAATGCCACGACGGTTATGATAAGCAACTATGCCGGTATACCTTGTAGGTACACTAGCCCTTTACAAGGGCTGCAAAAGTACGTGTCGACGGTTAAGTATGAGGCAGGGTGTAGTGATGTGAAATGCAGTAGTGAGACGCTTATTCAGCCCGCAGTTCAGGCCGCAGCTGATGCTGATTCCGTGGTTCTAGTCATGGGGCTAGATCAATCGGTTGAGGCTGAAGGGATCGATCGAGTAGGCTTGACATTGCCGGGATTTCAAGAGAAGTTGGTGACTGATGTTGCTAATGCATCAAATGGGAAAGTGGTGCTTGTGGTTATGGCTGCTGGTCCTATTGATATATCATTTGCAAAGAACATGAGAAACATCGGAGGGATTATGTGGGTCGGATATCCGGGTCAAGCTGGCGGAGACGCCATCGCTCAAGTCATATTCGGAGACTACAATCCAGGTTGCCTTCCTTTTCATCTTCTTTGATGACAATTTAAGTAAAACATTTTGTCCCAAAACATCAATGTGCTGATAATTTGTCCTGGTGTCTCAGCTGGAAGGTCTCCATTCACGTGGTATCTACAAGAGTATGCCGATAAGGTCCCGATGACCGACATGAACATGCGAGCCAATGCCACCGCATACTACCCCGGAAGAACCTATAGGTTCTACACCGGCAAAACTATTTACGAATTCGGACGTGGACTTAGCTACACATCATTCTCAAAGTTCATAATATTAGCTCCTTCCACAATACCAATCACCTCAACGACAAAAACCATTCTCGAAAAGTACAATCCCTACTTGAACATTGGTGAAGCCATCGATGCATCGACCCTAAACTGTGACATCTTGCAATTTGACGTCATTATCGGAGTGAGGAACAAGGGACCGATGGATGGAACTCATGTGGTCCTCCTCTTCTGGAAGCCACCGAGCTCGAACATCACCGGGGCACCGAACAAGCAGCTGGTTGGGTTCGAGAGGGTCGAAGTGAAGAAAGGGAAGACCAAGAAAGTGACAATGAACTTAGATGTGTGCAAAGATTTCACCTTAGTGGATGCTGAAGGGAAGAGGAAGCTGGTCATAGGGCAGCATACCCTATTTGTAGGATCCTCCAGTGAGCACCAACTGAAGCACCATTTCGTTGTAAGGCAAACAGGCAACGTAGGACTGTATTAGAATAAAGGGTAATATACTAAAGAAAGCCCTTTAATTTGAACAAGTCCTTATATTGCTCTATATTAACTTTGTTATGTGTAGATACGACGCTTCATGTATTCGTGTTGTATTCATGTATCTTGTCGTGTCCTAGTTATGTTGAACGTATTTCATATTTATATAAATTTTAATATATTAAGAGTATGTTTTAATTCTAATATATTTGTATAAATTTATATCATATTTTATTATGTGAATTTATTGAAACCAAAATTTAACATTTATTTTATTTTTAATAACATAGTGACATGTTTGTAACAATCGATTAATTAGTTATTCTGTTTGTTATCTTTTGAATTTTATGGATCCATTTGCAATCTCACTAATAATTGAGTGACTCGTGGTGTATTTTATTAATTTTCAAATTAAAGTATTTTAAAAATAAGGTAAAATACACTCTAGGCCACTCAATTATGTGTACAAGTCACTTTTTTCTAAATGTCACACTTAGGTCTCTCAATTAAAATATTTTTACAAACATGTCATCAACCATTAAATATTGGATAGAATAGTGACCTAACATTATATAATAACATTTTTATTTCTTAAAACTTATATACAATAATCTACTAATTTGAGTCTAATTTAAAATAATCGAATAGATTTAACCTATCTTATTTAAAAATTCAATAACGGTTGTTGCTTTATTGCAGAATGCATTTATCCAACTGATGTTTTGATTTGAAGGGTTCTCTTGATTTAATAATATTTTAAAAAAGATAAAATTGATAGAGTTTTCAAATATGAAGGGTTAATATATTAAACTGTTTTAAACAATGAAAAAATTAATAGAAATGTATGAGTTTTGTCACTAAACTTTCAAAAAGTTATAAAATGAGTACTAAACTTTTGATTTTGTTACAAAATGGATATCACGTGATTAGTTGATGTTATGTGTTGTTAAAAGGATGACATGACACACTAAATAAGTAGATAATATCTTAGTCTTAATTAAAAATTTTATTTTATTATGAAAATTCATAATTTATTTCTAAAAAGTTTTAAAATTTTATAATTTTAAGTTTTGTTTACGAATTTTAAATTTTAATAAAACTCTTCGTATTTCTCGGTACCTAAATTTTCAAAAAAAAAAAATCCTGGATTGGGGACTTTCACTCTTTTTATAACCTATGATAAAGTTAAATCAATATTTTATATTTCTTGCGATCATAATTTATAACGAACATGTTCTTTATCTTCTTTAAAGTTTTTATGAAACATGCAATGTTTTCAAATAATTAACTGAAGATTATGACTAAAAATGAATTAAAAATTCAATTATTATATTATAATTTTTAAAAATTAATTGTCTAAAAATTTATTTTAATATATTTTAATACTCTTATTGTCCCATTAAATTTGTTCTTTATTGATTTTTTAAAAGTTAAATTTTTTTAAACTTTGACCATTATTATTTTAAATATTTATAATAATTTAGTTTTATAATATATTTGAAAAATTACTTGATTGAAGATTTTAAAATATAATGTTTTATATTTTTATTAATAATAAATTTTAAATTATAATAAGTCAAAATTAAAATAAAGTTTGACAAAAAAAATAATAAATTGAGTGACTCAAGTGTAATATTCCCTTAAAGAATAGTTGAGGGTTTTTGTTGCCTTTTTTAGGCGGTGACTATATTTTGACCCTTGTTTTCCTTACCGTCGAAAACCCATATCCTTGCTCCATCGGTTCCGGCGAGAAACCCCGGAAATAAATTAACCACCAATCGCCTGTTTATGGAGCTTTACGAGTTATCGTTTTCAAGCTGTGTACAGTTACAGGATTTACGGTAATTATTTTCTCAGCAGTAAGTAAACGTGCGTCGCTAGTTGATTTTTCAATATTTTTTTTGATTTTTTTTAGAGTTTTGAAGAATTTGTCAGTTTTATTTAATTACCCTATTGAGCCCATAGTTAGGTTAACTCCATTGAAATTAGGTTAAAATGTCCCATTTGTGCCGGCATAAAACCTAACTTTATTATTTATTTATGTTTTGGTACTTTTTGTTAGGAATCATGTCAGAAAACAGATCCGAAATGCATTATTAAGTTCTTTATTAGTATAGAAGTTGACTTGAGAATGGAATCTGATCAGTTATACCTAGGTGTAAAAATATAGAAAAGGGGCAAAAAAAAAAAGCAACTTTGAGGGGCATTCCGAGAATCGAACTCGGTAAAGTGTTATTTGATAAGTGGATGCTAGCCTTGTCAGCATGTTGTTCTGATGTTTGACTGAATACTAATTTGGTACTTAAGCTAATGGTTGAAGATGAGCGTATTAGATGATTATGGAGTGAGTTATTGAATGATCGGTAAAGTGTTGTATCCTGATAACCTTTTATTTCCGGAACTCTGCATACTGAATGCTTGGATATTCTTTTTGATGCCAGCAGTGTAGGTGGTATCTACTTTAGTCTTTAGCTGCTAAAGCCATTTGGTTATTCTTATAAGGATCCGAAACGAATCCGGCATTGACCAAGCTTTGTACCTTTGTTCACCACTTTATTTAGTGTAGTCACTGCACAAGAGAGAAGAAAATTGGATGTTGTGACGATAAAAAACCGGACATTTGGTTTTCTTGTTGACTAGTTTTTCTTTCTGTAGACATTTATTTAATCCTGCTCCTTAAATGTCGGTTCCTTACACGCATATGTGATTCCTTTTCCTTTTTTAATATAAGCAGGAAGAATAGCTGCTCAACTGCTCAATATAGGTTATTTCTTATTTAATTATCTTTTGCAACTCATTGTATATACTCTTGTCAGAAAACAATTAAGACTGAAAAATGACTTTGATCCAAACTGCTCTTGCCTAGAAAAAAAAATGAAAGAGGGGCATTCCGAGAATCGAACTCGGGACCTCTCGCACCCAAAGCGAGAATCATACAACTAGAACAAATGCCCAATTTGTTGCCTGTAAAGTTGATAACATCTATAGGTGGCAAATTTTCAATAGTAGTGCATTCTTTCTTTCTTTTTTATTGATGAATCTCTGATCAACTCAATTGTTTGTGAGCTATTTTGTGTATTTAAAATATGTGCATTCTGAAAATTGAACTCATGGCCTCACACACCTGAAGCAAGAATCATACCACTACCAAATGCCCTATTTCTAAAACGTGCAATGTCTGGTTTCTAATTATCAATCCTTTTCTCCTAGAACTCCTGTTAATTTTCAGTAGAGACCAACGTCTGCCACTCTTACATTTTATATGGTACAGTGTATTGTTGCCTAGGTGAAACTGGATGCTGGTGGCTGACACCAGGTTGTAGCTTTTATCTATATTGAGATTCCAGTCATACTGGCTAGGCAGGGTATGAATACACTAGAAGGCAAAACATCTATTGTTTATTATGCTCTTAGATTTTAGACTGTTCTGAAATTTTCTTCAAAACAAAATGGTTAAAGAAAAAAACAAAATTAGATAACAATTTGGCAGCTATGTAGAAACCCAGTCACACTATGTAATGTTCTAATAAACTTTTCCCGAGCTGTATGCGAACATCTTTAGATATACGTTACTTGGATTTGGATATGGGCATGCGTCTAACATGGATATGTTATTTTTATTTTGTTCCTCTGTTGGGAAGAAAAAGCTTCTGAAAAAGCTTCAATGTTATTTTAGTTTTAGAGTTGTACTACCTGCAAAAACAATAGAATTGTACTTGGGAACTCTCACACCCTAAGCAAGAATCATACCATTAGACCAAATATCCTGTTTTACTGTCAACCATGTTCTACACTTATTTATTAGCATTTTTTAAAGGAATCTTGTCAGAAAACAGATCTGAATTCCATTATTAAGTTGTATACTAGTATGGAAGTTGACTTGACTGAGGTTGGAATCTAATCTTTTATTTCAAGTTGTAAACAATTTAGAAAAGGGGAAAAAGAAATGAATTTGGGGGGCATTCCGAGAATCGAACTCGGGACCTCTCGCACCCAAAGCGAGAATCATACCACTAGACCAAATGCCCACTCTTTGAAGATGTTCATGATTGTGATATGTTTTGATGAGTGGATGCTAGCCTTGTCAGCATGTTGTTCTGATGTTTGAATACTAACATGGTGCCTAAGCTAATGGTTAAATATGAGCTTTTTGGATGATTAGGGAGTTATTGAATGATCGGTAAGTGTTGTGCCCTGATAACCTTTTATTTCCGGGACTTTGCATACTGAATGCTTAAATATTATTTTGGTTATTCTTTTTTTTTTCATCCCCCCCTGTTAGGCAGAAAAAGCTTCAATGTTATTTTAGTTTTAGAGTTGAACTAACTGCATTATTCCAAGTTGTAAAAATTTAGAAAAGCGGCAAAAAAGATGAAGAGAATTTTAGGGGCATTCTGAGAATTGAACTTAGGACCTCTCGCACCCAAAGCGGGAATCATACCACTAGACCGAATGCCCAGTTCTTGTAATTTATCGTGATTAGGTTTTGGGTATTATATATAATTTTCAAGATCCTGATGAATTTTGGTGAGTGGATGTTAGGCTTGTCAGCATGTTGTTCTGATGTTTGAATACTAATTTGGTGCTTAAGCTAATGGTTAAAGATGAGCTTATTGGATTATTAGGGATTTCTTGAATGATCGGTAAATGTTGTGTCCTGATAACCTTTTATTTCTGGGACTTTGCATACTGAATGCTCAGATATTATTTTTAAAAATGCAACCCGTAGACTATCCTTTTGTGTCTATTTTGTAACAAAATTAAAAATTGAATGACTATATTATAAATTTTAAAAATTCTTTGTATAAAAAATTTATTTTAATATATTTTAATACTCGTATTGATCCATTTAATTTGTTCTTTATTGATTTTTTAAAAGTTAAATATTTTTAAACTTTGACCATTATTATTTTAAATATTTATAATAATTTAGTTTTATAATATATTTCAAAAATTACTTGATTGAAGATTTTTAAAATAAAAAGTTTTATATTTTTATTAATAATAAATTTTAAATTATAATAAGTCAAAATTAAGATAAAGTTTGACAAAAAAGTAAATAATAAATTGAGTGACTCAAGTGTAATATACCCTTAAAGCATAGTTGACGGTTTTTGTTGCCTTTATTAGGCAGTGACTCTATTTTGATCCTTGTTCTTCCCTACCGTCGAAAACCCATTTCCTTGCTCC